TGTCTGACACATTCTGTGTGGGGCCGAATCCCCTTTGCATTTTTTTTACCCACTGTCACTTCATCACCTTAACCCCTCCTGCAGTGGGGCAGGGCATTTGCCTTAAGCCTTAAACCTTGCCCTGGTCTGTTGCCTTTTTGATTGAGTTGCAGCAGCATTCTTAAGGCGAACCGCTTGCGGTTTTTGTGTGTGTTTTGGTTACACTTTTTGCATTTTACACTCAACCAATATGGTTGCGGGTAGAGTGAGGCATGAGGCGTGTTGCATTCATGGGGGTGGGCTTGTTATTTGCTGCCTGCTGTGAGTGTGACACAATTTTCGTTGCGCTCTGGGAATGTCCAGTGATAAGCAGAGATAGAGTACAACAAACAGCAGGTACATGCCACACAATTCTCCTCCTGGCCTTTAGTCTTCATATTTTAACATGCTTTTACGACATATGCTCGTCTTGAAGATTTTCCCAAAGATTCGGCCTGCGATCCAGAGGATGATATCCCATGCCCCACTCCCCCATGTACATACATTTATGTATGTGCGTGTCTTGCACTTAATTGCTACCCCCATTGCAGCAGGAGCCAGGAGCGCCTGGGAGTGGAGTCAAAAGATTTTTGAGCGGTTTTTGTTGGCTGTTGGTTTAGCTGTTGGCCTCTTGCCAAAAATTGAATGTTTGCCGCCGCCTCTCGTGCTTGCTGCCTTTGCACTCTCTTCAGAAATGTTGCATGCAATTTTCAAACTAAATATTTTATGATTTATTTGCGTGCTGCACTTAACAGCCAGGACATGGACATGGACATGGACATGGACACCGACACCGGCCCTGTGTCTGGAATGCGGGGAAAGGACACTGGCACAGACCAGGGACATGGACATGGGACGACCACTGGACTGTCGAATTTTTGGTCGAGTAGTGCTATGATGGACCTCCTCCCACCCCACAGCCCATTCGTTTCGGCTTCCATCTCCTTGTTTGCGTCTCTGTTTTGACGCATTTAACAAATTGGCCGAGCAAATTTTCACATTGATTCCCAAAGAAAAACAATTCGGCAAAATGATTTAGGATAAAATATTTTACTGTCAAACTCAATCAAGTGGGCAATGCATTGAGTCTCCAGCCAGCTCCCAAATGGATTAATGAGCAGTTTACGGACATATTTACATATAACAATGCGGCAGGCAAGGCAAAACTAGGCATGGCATTTATTATTGAGTCACTGGGGGATTTGGCCACTCTCTGAATGTGAAAATGCTGCTTAATCTACTGCAGAATGGAGTGCGATGGACAGGCAGACAGGCAGTCAAAAGTGAATTTATATTTACTCGAAGAAACCCGTTCACAGCGAACAATGAGCATCTTTGTCCAGTCTACTTGAAATCGAATTGCGATCTCAGTATCTGGAAAACACACACATGTATTTGAATGCTTACAGTGAAACATAACGAGAACTCTCTAGAAAATCAGCAATTTACTTAATTAAAACATTTTGCTGTAAGCAATCCAAAGGGCTGCAAGTCCTTATCGAATATTCTCGAGTGTCTATGTTGAATCATATGTCTTTTGAAACTAGCTGACTAGTTGCATAGCTTTAAAAGTGCTTAAGCTACAATTTGCGTCCTATGTTTGATTGCTTGTTGTGTGGATTAATAATGCATCTAGGATACTTTCCATAAAATGGCATTAGAAACACAGAAATATTTAAATTAAATATTGGAGCTTTAAACACAAAAACACATTAAATAGATCGCTTGGGCTTCTTTTCAGCAAACATTATTTAGGAATCACTAACAGGATAAGGTCAAAACTGGGAAAACTACTCTCATACAGCAACAAGAACTTAATCTCCATAGTAACATTTAAGCACTATCCAAGATGATGTGTTGCCATCAGAGTTGCCATGGTCATGTTTTTTACTCTCAAACATACGCAGTCATTTCCCTACATGAGACCAGCTCGGTCATAAAAGTTGCTGGAGAAATGCGCTCATGAGCCATTAGTTGACGGAGAGATTGCCGTGGTCGGGGCGGAGTGGAGGGATCGTAAAGATGGGGCAACGATGAGAATGGGTGGCACAACAATAAACGACAAGAAACGACAATTATGAGTGGCACATAAAGCGAATGCAATTACGGATGATTCAACAATGAAACGACTCTTAACCAGAATGACAGCGATTCAACGCAGCGATTGCACATGCGAAAGCTATCGAAATACGTGGCTATCGAGGGATGATGATGGCAATCGAGTGGCAGTCTTGTCTTTGAATTACACAAAACATATACCACTCCGATATGATCAAAGCATTCGCAGAGATGCACTTGGGGCATGATTTCGAGGAACAAGAAATCACCCTGGACATACAAATTGATCCCACTTCCACTTTAACGATTGACTAGATTCCGCACTTGTTGCTGATTTCAAAACAACACTCTGAATTCCCCTCTAAATAAGTCTCATGGAAGTTGTGGCCGAAGTTTCCTTCTTAAAGATTTCAGTGCGGGAAATTCCCCTTTAAAGCACTCTTTTATCTGGTAGCAAATGGAAAATTGATTGTTCCACCGACGACAGACGCTGTCAACCCTTTCCCTCCCCTTCACAGCGCCCTTTCCCGCGGTGCCACCCGTTCCGGTTTTTATTTTGAGCTCCCATCAACAACTGCGACCAATCGCAGCTAATCAAAGCCTGGTTGTGACCCCGACAGCGTGAAAAGCGAGAAAAAGGTTTTCATGGCCACCGCCGGAGAGAAGGTGAAGGAAAGAAAATCTGCCCTTGTCCTTGTGTCTTGTTTCTTGTCCTTTTCCCCATGTCCCATGTCCCATGTCCATGTTCGTGTCCGTACTCCGTGTGCTAGTCATAAATTCAACTTTTGCCGTTTTCTATGCGACGTTTCATTAAAAATTTAGCATGGCCCACCTTTGCCAAGGAGTGCCTGGAGTATCCATTCCCATCCCAATCCAGATTCCCCCATCCATCCCTTGGCGTGGGGCATTTGGAGGCTGTAAAGTGCGTTTGTTGGCGTTACTTTATGGCTGGAGCGCATGTAAACACGTGGCCACGTGGATGCCATGGCAGGATCCACATCTTGCGACACTTGGCGACGGGCGACTGGCGGCTGGGTAGATGGAGATGAAGATGAAGAAGGATATGGGGCAAGCGGAGGAGCAGGAGAGAAGGAGGAGGTGTTGTCCCAGCTGCGCTACAACGACAACACGTAATGATTGTCCTTGTCACACACCCACAAAGTCACAACAACAACAGCAAGTGGCACGAAGGGGATTCTATCGACGACTAGGATACCCAAAGGATAACCATAGCACAATCGATATCTCAAATGAAAGGCTTTTCCACACAACACGTTTCTTTCCCCTTTCGCAATATTTTCGCACATGTTGGTATCATTAAATTGTTAATTTCAACTAAATTATCCCGAAAATGGACAAGTAAATAAAATATTGAAATTTTGCCTTGATTGTGTTGCCTCTTAACTCTCTGTATCAGAATATTATGTAGATCGGATGGGGTTAGCTTTTGCGTTTAATATATCAATCCGGTATTCACTTTTAAGATATTTACCACTAATTATGCTTTTCAAGCTGAAAATATTATACAAATGGAAGCTAAAGAACGCTTTTGAATTGTTTTTTCATTTGTATGAGTTTGAAGTCAAAATATCTTGAGCATTCTATGTATTCTTCCTTACCCTGCAATTACAGGGCATGCCAAAAACAAAAAAAACTAAGTCTAAGTCTGAGTCTGAGACTGAGGCTGCTACAGGCCATAAAATTCATGCCATCTGACAACTGCGCCTCATACATTTTTATGACTCACAGTCATATTTATAGAGAGAGCGCAGAGTGTCTGCGATACAGACACTCTTTCAGTGTGGCAGGCAACCCCTCGGGCACGCACAGTTTTCCATCAGCGCCCCCAAATTAGGCAAAGGATGTACCGGATAGATAAACATCGGCCCCGAGCGAACGAGTGAGTCAAGGGCGTCGACAGGACCCAGGTTCTGGCTTCTAGGCCCTAGGTACCAGGTCCTGCAACTTGTCGAGTGCATTAATTATGCTTATTTATTTAATGCCATTTGCCCATTGTTCGCCTGGGCACTCGGAGGTCATTATCGTTAGCATCCTGGGATCGGGTACTCAATTGAATTAATGCCACCGAAAATTGCATATGGAAATAGTCAAATATCCATTCGAAGCGTAGGAGCATAGCATTTTCATAGAACATTTCAAACTGTTTTCAATGTGGGGCAGGCCACGTTATTGATGTGATGATTATATAATATGGGTGGCCACAGCCAATGGCCAAAGGTTTCTGTTTCTTTAACAATTCCTCATCATGCTTTGCTCGGCTCTGCTCTGTAATGAAATCAGGGGTGCAGTCAGGCAAATAATTATGTGGCTGAATAACTTTTAGCCACAGAAAACAGGCAATGATTGTGTTTATCATTTGCATCTTCTTTAGGGAAAACTTCTTCTTCGAAATTGCAAATTGCAGTGCCAAGGTAAGCGCTTTCTTGTATGTAGGAACGATACAGGTCGGCCTTCCTACAAAAAGTTTTGATTAAATTCTGCCAAGGCATAGAAGAATTTATAGTTTAATATTCAGTTGTATTTAATAGTGAAAGGAATACCCCTGTTCTCCCAATGGCCAATGCCCCATTAAAGGTGATTTAACAACTAAATTCAATGCATTGAACTTCTGTTTTCTAATGCATATCATTAGATGTGCTGTGGCATATCATTTGGTACATAATTTACATTGCATTACGCCATACATGTACATACACATACATACATGCATAAACACGTATTAACATATGTACATACATGTATGTATATGTACATATGTACATATGCCTTGCATTGGTTTTGCTTCCCTCTTAAGATTTCCCATGGAAATGTGCTATGCCTTGTGTTGGCATTACAAATTATTTACACTCGTATATACATAGAGTTAGACAGAAACCGACCAACTCAGTATCATTTGGGTTGAATGCCTTTTATTTGTCACAAATTTCCGAAATATTCGAAAGACAGTAGACGGGATTTTCAATATAAAAATAACGACTTTCTCTCTCGCTTAGAAAATCAGCGCAATATAATTATGATGCACTCAGAACTGAATCTGAAATTAGGTAAGAATAAAAGATAAACTAATTATGATTATTATTATACTGTTTATGCTTGTTTAGGGACCCAACTCATTAATGATCCAATCGATGATGAGGGAATGATAAAGGCTGAACCGGAGCCAATTGATGATGGCCATGAGGCGGATGACGAAAATGATTCTGGAGGTGATTCTGAAGATGAGCTTGAAGTGGACGAATCTGACGATGAGTTCAAAGAACGGGAGAAGGAGGAAGATAGTGACGAGATGGATATTGACAACCTAAGTCGCTCACTTAGTTTTTCCAATTATTTTTAATGTTTCGATCAATGATGCATATTTATAGATAGCAATTGATAATCGTTTAATTATCGTTTAACACATTACATTTCTACATTTCTGAAAGCAGCCGAGAAACTTAAATTATCGTTAATTTTTGAGCAACTTGATTCGAAATTTAAACAATCTGTAAGCCAAAATTCCAAGTTTCACAACAATGTAAGCATACATTTTTGGTTAATAGCAATGTATAACTTCCCTAATTCTACAATAGGTTCCTAATCCTCCCAATGTGACACGTGCCATGCAGCAGGCCAGCTCGGTCGATCGCATTGTTTTCCACTTCTACAACGCCAGATCACATTTCGGAGAAGAAACAAGATCTCACCGTTCTGGATTGTGAGACCACACCAACTGCCATGGCATGCTCGTGAATCGTAGCGATGAAACCAGCTGGAATTTCCCCCTAACTTGCATTTCTTCCCAGTAAAATGTGGACCACACACGAAAAGAAAGCTCCTCCCTCTGCACATAAATATAAGACGAAATAAGAAATACAAAAAATACAAAAACACAAAATACCAGCGATAATTCAAAAGCCCACCACCACATACGTGAGGGCCAGCAGAATCCGTGGGTGCCTGGTGCCTGGCTGCCTGCCTTCCTGCCTTCTTGGCCAACAAATCGCACAGCAAAATCTCAGCAATTATTTGGCATTAGTGAAGTAAGCGAATTGTTGTGAATGCATGCCCTTGCGAGGCAAATGTCTTTAAAATCGACCAAATTGGAAACAAGATTAAAAGAAAGAAAGCAGCATCAGCAGCAGTCGAATGGGGCAAGTGGCAAATGGTGACTGGCAGACACACCAGACAAAGGCCAAGTCGAGGCAGGAGCCATCATCTCTGCCTCACGTCCCTGCCTAGTGTGCCAATAAAGCGCAACAAAGAGCGCCTGGCCCAAGACCGAGAGTCGTGTCAATATTTTGACTGTGTTTTAGCCTTGGCTTCTTTTTGTACCCCACCCCAGATCTCCGTGTCTCTCTGCCCCTGTCCCTGTCCCTGTCCCTATCCATGTGTCTTGTTCGTCGCCTCTCGTTGGGAGATGTGGCGGCGTCCTCTCTCCGGAGGTGGCCATGCGCGTCCAGCGTCAGGAATATTGATGCCAGTGGAGCGTGCCGCTGGGAATGCCATGTGGCATTTCACCATCATCCTCCTTCGCATCTGCCCATGCATCTCCGCCAAAAACATATCTCCCACACACAAAAAAAATGAACAGAAAGATGTCTAGAGAACAAACCATAATGGGAATAATATAGACAACAAAATGCCCATTCTTTTGGCAGCAAATGTATATAAACAGAATAGACCGCTTTTAAGGTGCGGAAACTTGTGGACTTTTCATAATTAAAATCTGCATCAAATGTATACACATACACATGTATATGCCAGTTGTTTCCCTCCATTTCCTTCTTTCTTTCCATGTCACAATGCTGATGCAGATTGAAGCATACCCAGAGAGAGATGATCCATGAGTGGCATGGACTTGACCGCAGCCAGCGCATGTTAAACACCAAAGAGGGCTCTGGCCATGGGCCAGAATCCGTCTCAAACGGCTGGGACGACATAAATTAGCGGCAGGCTGTGCGTTCCACTCCTCCACCTTCTTCTCTACGAATATGTGTGCGAAAGTTTTGCGGCTAGCTGCCTCATATAGCGGCACGCAGTTTATCAAAGTCTTCCCCGGCGCTCGCTGCGTTCTCTCTCTCTCTCTCTCTCTCTTTCTCTTTCTCTGAGAGAAAGTGAAGCGCAGAACGCTTAACGTAACGCAACCTCCAACTTACAACTGGCGTTGCCGCTGTTGCACATCACGTGACCTGCCAGCCAAATGAAATTCCTAGTCGGCGTCACATGGCGCGCGCACAACGAACGGTTCTGTAATTGAGTTGCCGTCGCATACACTTGCCCCTGCCCAAGTTCCCCTACCTACTGCCGTGCCCCACCATCTTCTGTATGTGTAATTACTTAAAATTCCTGTCTTGAGGCAGAGCCCCACAAGTTGCAAGTTCCAGGTTACAGGTTACATGCTTCGTGACAGTTCACATGCTGTTGCATTTATTAATTCAATTTACTGGTAATTACTGGCAGCACCCGAAAAGATATCATCTACAAACAAAACGCACACAATATTCTATTTGAATATAAGTGTGGAAAAATAGTGAACAGCATTTAGATTAAAGGACACACACAGAGCGCAAATTAGTTGTGGGCTTCGGATGTTAACGCAAAGCTGTGAGTGCCAGCGATAACAGTCTGTTAACCTTGAGAGCGCTGTTTCTATGTTGGAGCTGCTGCCCTGTACCAGGGCATGGCTGTGGGGAAGACAGATCTCAACTTCCATTCACTCTTCAAACAAATTAAAATGCCTGCCATGACATGATATTTATTTATTTACATACTTGTGTACTATGTGGTTGCCACTCAAACAGGCAATGTTTAAAGAACATTTTCCAATTTTGGTCTGATGCCCTAAGCGGAGTAAATACTCCGCATATACTGAATACTGGAACTATATGTATTTGTTTGATGATATTTCTATAGCCAATGGCCAAATATCCCCATAATCAAGTAAATCAAGACCTGCTTACTTATTTATTTGCAGTCGATAATCAAACCGCAAAATGACCGCCCCATGCTCCCAAACCAAACGTTCCCTCTGGGTCAGCGACAGCGCCAGCGGCAGCAGCCCATCGCTCACTTGATATTAGTTTTTAATTATCCCACATTTGATTGCATTAACTGCGCAGCCCACGCAGTTGTTTACTCGAACGTGTGGCGCCCCAAAGGGAGGTAGGCTTTGGGAGGGGATTCTACAAAAAATCCCTGGCCAAATCGAATTTCAAACAAGAAAGAAAATGCATTTCGGAAAAAAACAAACTGTATAACAATATATGGACGATATAATAATATGTATATTATTGAAGACTAATATTATTTTGCTTACTATCCTTCATAGATGGTATCTTTCGATCTATAAAGCTGTAAAGAGCAGAGAGAAGAATGTCAAAAAACATTTGTATGCACTTGTTTGATCACCAGGTAGATGAATCTAAATACCAGACGAAGCCCTGGCTGATCGTGAGTATCTACTATGATACAATTTGACTTTTCTCTGTTTCAAACATCTTCAATAAGTCAGAATACCCTCTCTCTATCTCTCTCGCTGTCTGTGTGTGGAGGCGTTGGCGTTTTTTCGAGGGGGGAATCAAACGGAAAAAGGCAACAAAATGCTACGAAATAAATTATAACCACAAAAATGCAATTTAATACAAATCTAATTCGAGCGCATCAGGCGTTTGCCAGCTGTCCTGTCCTGTCCTGTCCTGTCCTGTCCGCGTGTTTGTGTAAAACTGCAGCACCGCGCCCCCATTCATGACGATTTTTAATTGAAAGCGCGACTTTTGGGCTTTGGACCAGAGCAGCACACTCACACACCGAAACACATGCAGATACAAACGCATACAAACGCACATTCAGCAGCAGCCGAAACGGCGACGGCAGCAGCTGCATAAATTTCATTAGTAAACTTTTAATTAGAAAAATTTCAGCATGAATTTAATTAGTGTATATATGTGCACACATACTTATGCACATATATATATATATATATGTATATATTTATGTGCACACAAATATATTTATGTACTTACACACACTCGCAAGTGCGGAAACACAAAGCCGAAAATTAAATGTAATGAAATGAGAAAGAATGAAAATTAAATGCAACTGGACCCCACGTCAATGCCAACACCTGACAAACCCCTGACAACACCACCCGCTGCTGACATCGTGGGGATGCCACCCGCAGCCCACGCACACTACGCTCAAGGGCGCGTTGAAAAAAACGGTGCAGCTCCGCAGCAGAAGAACAAAAGATCTAATCTACGAAAAACTAAAGATCTGCTTAATATTAAGATTAATCGGAATTCATTACCCAAAAAGCATAGAAAAACAAGAAGCAAACTGCCTCTTCTGTCTCTTGCCTAGTAGGCAATTACGATATGCTCTCCAAATGCAGATTTTCTGTTACTGTTACTGCCACACACACAAAACAAGCTGTAACAATTCCATTATTACTTTACGTCTAAAAAGAAACGAACTGTTAGACTACATACCCGCTCGATACTTCCGAACGAACGATTTATGGACGAACCGAAACTGCAAGACGCGAGCAAACAGTCAAAGAAACATAATTTGTGTGACGATGTCAGCTTGAGATTTAATGAGAAAGAGCCAAACCTTGTTTTAAAACAATTAAACCGTTGGCTGGGGTACTGTTGACTTTGCATTGACGCTCGCAAAAATTAAGTCACGCAACAATTCCCAAACGGAAATTGCAGCAGTGGAAATTTGTTAAATTTTGTATTAAATGAACTTTTGTTTCAAAGAACTACAGTAATGAATCAGTAATGTCATTGATGCCTTTCAAAGTTATCTTCCACACACGTTTTCAGAAGAGAATCTTTTGACTTTTTGTCTGGATGCACGCGACATTCTCAACCACTGGTAGACGGAGAGCACAGATCTGCTGGCATCTGCTGGCATCACATTGCGCTGACCCTGAGGTTAAGGCTGAGAAGGCGTCACGCTTAACGTGCCGAACTGCCACACAATTGGTGTAATTACAGAATGAGGAAGTGCAGCAGCATCAAAGATACAAACAGTCTGTACGAGTATGGCTACGTAGGTATGCTAATTATGCTGCCAATCATAAGGCTTGGGTCGCCTGATGCCTAATGTCTGATGCTGGTGCGAGGGGAGTTACCCGAGGCCCCAATGTATTTTCGTACACATTTTCAGAGTAATTTATGTTGTTTAGTCGCGTCTAAATTGATTGTCTGTATCAAGCAACTACTGCAGCCGCGTTGACGTTGTCAGCAGTTAATCGTTGCGTGATTAATCATTTTCTATGCAAATTATATATTGTATGTATGTATGTCTATGGTATGCCCCATCTTTACTCTAACACGCACCAATCTACGATCTGGTCTTTCACTTGTACAACCACCTCTCTAACTCTAACTCTGACTCTGACTCTGATGTGTTGACTACCTGGGGTAGATCACTTAATTACAACAGCCACTCGAAGAGCCAGAGTTCAGATGCTGCTTTTAAATGATATATGTATGTACGTATGCGGAGCTATACGATCTGGCGGCTAATCACAAATCATTCATAATCATATTTTGAGCTAATAATATGCGAGAGAATAAACCACAACAACTGCGTCATGGGAATAGAAAAGCCCAGGTCTTACGATGCAAGTGTGTGCAATACATTGAATTGCAATTGAAATCGGGTTTGCCTATGAATCAGTAAGCATTGGAACTTAGGCCAAAATATGCAAGAAATATGAATGTAACGATTTTCCCTGGGATTTAAAGAGGTTTCAAGCAATCAATATAAGAAACATAGGCCTATAGCTCGCAATTGTGAGGCTGAAAAATCATTCTTTGCAAAACATATCCACACTGAGTGGAAAAGATATCCAACAGAATGTTCGAGTCAGTGATCGCACCATGGTACGATACTCGTACTATGATGAGCTGGAATTCTGAAAGCGTCTTAATGATGTGATACTCGGTAGAGTGTTTAGAGCCAATAAAAGGTTGTCTTACCAGCCGGAACGCAATTGTCCAATAAAGTTGAAAAGCAAAAAGCTTTCGAATGGACCGAAGTTACGAATACCCTGGTCATATTAATTAGAAAACTCATATAAGTTGAATGCCATTACATTTATAGTTTATAGTTTCAGTTTATGACACGGACGTGTATGGCTTTGAATACACTGTCGGATTTTAACCAAGAAATGCCACAGTATTTAAGGATAGAAAGCGGGAATATATGTATGTATGTATATACTCCCTGTTCTAGAGAACATGAATATATTTAGCCCATTCAAATAGATCACACAAGAGGCATATATATCGAAATAAAAACAAAAATATCACTGACCCAGAGACTCTTAAAACGTAGGGAGCGGCGTCCGTCTCGATGGGTTCCCATTCTTTTTTGGCCATTCAACGTCATAATCATACTCGTAAGTTCTTCTTCAGGTCTTCTGTTGTTGTGGGGTTCTGTTCTTTTTGCATAATTCGTTGATGGTTGCTTTTTTTGTTATTTATAGCATTGTTATTTTAATTAATGCCGCGATTCCGATTAGGTGTGAGGCACGTTTCTGCCAACGCGTCGTTTCTTTTCTTTTAGGTATCGGTTTTCTACCTCTTTGCTTACTCTTTGCAGAGGGCCTTATACTTTTGGGTAGATGTTTGACTCTATTTGATTCTGAATTTGTGTTAAATATACCTATAAATATTGTACATTCATTGATACAAATATTAAATAAATACCCATAAGCTGACTTCCAATTTAACCTTGAATTGCAGGCTTTCAGGCTTGATTTTATTCCAAATAAATCAAACAAATTAACAAATACATATTAAATTTTATGCATACTTTAAAGTTTACACTTTCCAGATCTTAGATAAGGACAAAATGTGTATATTAAAGGGGTCTCAGTGTTTATAATCCTTGCAGATACTTTGATACTCTGACATTCTGAGTTCTATCGAGCTTCCACTTGTAATTGTTGGATCTGGAAGAGCATCAAATGCTTCGGACTATCCTTTATTTATCGTTTTTCTATGTGGATACTGTTAACGGCATTTAGTCGGTTTGTAGTTCTGTAAAGCTGCTTTGATGGAACGCAAATAATTCCCCGACTTGGCCACTTACCGGCAATTGGCAATTGCCTTGAAGCGATAATTTTTCCCACACTGGGCATTGGCCATTGGTCACTGAGCACTGAGCATTGAGCATAGGGCACTGGGCTTTGAGCCACTGATTATACCACTTGCACGGAGGAGGGGCAGATACCCATGACACACGCGATGAGCGATGAGCCGCCAAAGCCTCCGCCGCCGAGTTGCCACAGCCAAACCGGTTCCCCGGTGGTGCTCCAGTGTTTGTGGTGCACTGGCTGCAATGCCCGGAAGCTCGATCGGTGTCTTGTAGGGGAAACCAGGGATGAGTAAAGCAGCCCATTGGGGGGACAGAACCAGTTATGGGGCTCTGACCCAACCCTAAGCGATGGGATAAAGGCAGCGATGCTACCGCACCGCTTAAGCTTCGGATTGGGGCTTCTCCATCAATTCATTCATAAACCAAAACTCCCGCTCGACCTTAGCTCAGTTGATTGTTGACCGTCGAGATGCCGAGATTGTCGAGCAAGTGCAGTGCTGCCGCCGCCCTATGGGGCGCACCTGCAGTGCTCCTGATTATTGTGGCATCGTGTCTCAGTGGATTAGAGGCAGCCACAAGCACAGGCGGAGGATACTGTGCCCCAACGCTTTGCCAGCTATACAACGGCAGTCATGTGGTGCAAGTGCCACATACGGCGTGTGGGAATAATGGCAGCTTTGGTGTGGGTTGCGGAGCCGAGCCAAAGCTGCTGGCCATGAATGACCGGAGACGCCAGCTGCTGCTGGACATGCATAACTTGGCCCGCTCGAAGATAGCCAGCGGAGAGCTGTCAGGCTACAATAGTGCCACACATATGCCGATGCTGCGTTGGGACGCAGAGCTGGAACAGATGGCAGGCCTGCATGCAAAGCGCTGCCAATTCGCCCACGACAAGTGCCGCAACACGCCGCGTTTCAAGTTCAGTGGGCAGAACATCGGATACTTTTGGATTGGACGCGAGTTCAAGTCACACTCGAGGCGCATGAAGTCCTTTGTGCTCAACTGGTTCAGGGAGTATCTGGATGCGAATCAGACCTTCATCGATAGCTATCGTCCGCATCCCCAGGGGTAAGTGGCTGGACTCTAAGTGGGTCACTAAGTCACAACTAAGTCACGTCTATCCACACATACAGCAAGAAAATCGGACACTTTACGCTGCTTGTCTCGGATCGTGTGCATCGCGTGGGTTGTGCTGCTGTGCGGTTTCTCGAGCCCCTGGCCAGCAGATACCAGTTCATGCTCACCTGCAACTATGACTACAACAACATCTACAATGAGCCCATCTATCAGTCGGGCCCGGCGGCCTCCAAGTGCGTCCAGCACCAAGTGAGCGACAAGTTTCCGGCCCTGTGCGACTGGCGGGACGCCGCCTACGACTATGACAGCGACGAGAGCGCCGAGGATGGCAACACGCTCGACAACAACATACCCCTCTAAGCCATCTAGGAATGGATAGTAATTTTTCTTAGCCCTCCCCACCTTGTATAGCATTTTCCTTTATTATTTTTTTTTAGCATTTAAGTCCAGCACCCTCAAACACCACCACCCATCCACTGAAGAAGATCAACTGCCAATTGGTATTTTTTGAATAATTTTCCACATCTGTTGATCGTTTATTAAAACACAAATCTATGTACATTGATTAGAGCCTTGGATAATCTATCTATTTATTCCCTTAATTACTATCCCAACCATCGATCTGCCTAGGCAAACGCCGCTGTCGTCGTCGTCGGCTCCACTTATCGGTCAACATCAAAGATGTTGAACGGTGGAAGCGATGCAGTGGTTTGCCCAGTGTTGGTTGTGGATGGTCTCTCCGTCGTCTTCCTGGTTGTTCGTTCTGTCGTCTTCCCCGTTGTCAGCTTCGTTGTTCGCACTGTGGGACCATCAGTCGTCTTCCTGGTTGTACGATCTGTCGTCTTCCCCGTCG